AATACTGATTAAGACTTCTCGCTTACAATTGCAGCAAGATATTTAAGGGGTCATTCTAGTGAAGATGATTAAATGATGTTGAGAGAACCTAATACAATATCCCAGAATATTCTGGGGAGCTGCTAACTCCGAGTTCTAAAGTCTGAAGGAAAGCCTCCAACTCCTTCAATCATTTAATAAACAAACATCTGCACAAAACAAGTAAAAAATTTACACCAACTTTTTTGTAATCATGCTATTTTAAGAAGTCATTACTCTGAATCCTGCTTTAGAGCATCTTAATTTTTGTCTAACATTACCAAACTACTCAAAAATCAACTGACAGTCAACGTTTCTACACAGCCTATTTCACAGACAAGTTCTAGGCAAGTGGACTTTTATTTGTCATTTATTGACCTTCAGTAACACAACTATCATTTCATTTCATGTTTTGTGGAAGTAAGCTATTTTTTGAACCCATGTAGTATAAATTTCTTCTTTGTTCTTCTATTTTCCCCAATTAAAATTATTTCAATAAACTATTCAAGGCTGGAAGACTGCCTTTCCTCCCCTTTCTCGAAGCAAAAGCAAGAACTCAATAGAAATATTTTATAGACGTGAAACTTTTAGAGTCTTCTGTTCAGGATTGAAACGTAATGAAGTTAAAAAGTTCAAAGAAAGGTTATTCATAAATACATTCAGAAATCTTCTGTTAACTCATCTGGCACAGCCTTACCTTTTGGGTCATTGTGAGTTAACAGCTGTATGTCGAACTGTTTGGCAAATGCTGTGAGATCAGGTGGCATCACACAACAGGAAGCCAGGTTCACCTGATTACTACTTGGTTTCACCTGAAAGTAACAAAATACTTTTGTGAGCAGAAAAATATTAATGTACTTATCTTAGTTGATTCCCCCATGCCTCTATGACAACAGAAATTCTGCCTGGAACAATTTGCCTTTGACGATTGTTTTGAGGTCTGATCAAGGCTAAGTAATTCTGCACGATGCTGAACAGGCAATTCCTACACATGCAATTTCCCACAGCACAGGGCCTAAAGCATAGGATCTAACTTCAGATGCTGCCACAGCAAGGTGCGTACTAACCCATTCTGGCTTCCTGCCTGCTGCAGGTTGTTAGTGGAAACACTATAGGGGTGTCAGTTTGAAAAAGACTTTAAATAAATTGAGTATTTTTTAAGGATATATAGTTTGCAATCATTTGTGCCTTCAGGTAAGAGCCTAGGTCAAATTAAGTTAAAAGGGACTCTCTTCCATTGACTCTGCTCATCACAGACTGCATCCATGATCATCACGCGGGTGGTCATCAATCTCCTCAATTATCCTCCTCCTCAGTATGCAAAAGCCAGTGAAGAGCACGGATCTGAAGTCTCAGCAAGACCTCCCATACAGATACCGGTATGCTCACATACCACATAAACGTTGGAAGACAAATATTCAAAGTACTAATAAAGAAACAGTAAATCCAAAAGCCTACATAAGTATGGACACATTAGTACAGACCTCCATCACTTCAGTGTTACAAGAGGCATTTTAAGTCACACTGGACAACAAAGTATTGTGCCACTTCATTCATAGCCTGTCCTCCCCTTTACATTAAAGCTTAGCACTCAAAGAGCAGTTTTCTAAGGGGAAATCCCTCCATCTGCAACACAGCCTTAAGTGAAAACAGCTTTGTTTTCAGTCACTGGAATAAATCTGAAGGTTTAAGAGTATTGTTTATATTCCTTCTAAATGTCAGGGCATTCAGAACTGAAACCTTAACTACTTCAAAGAACCCGCTACTGAACACACCCATGGTTTCCAGCCTTTGCTGGCCTGTACATAAGAACACTGAACAAGTGACAATCACACTTTGAGCCTCTCCCACCTTGAACTGTGACTGTCCATAAGATGCTGAAAATAACAAGGCTAATTAATATTGTGTATATAAATCAATTTATAGATGCTTATAACAATATGGCAGCCAACAAAATAGTTACTATGTCCTAGAAATGTGACAAGTAGGAAGTTTGTTCTCACCTGTGCCCATAGATACAGCTGCTCCAACAGTGTTTTATCGAGGTCAGAGGTACCTATGGCAACAATCTTTTTGTTTTGAACGAGATTTTCAAGTTCTTGCCAATAAGGCTGCAAATACTCCAAGGAGAGGCTAGTTCCATCTTCAACAGGAGGTGGGGCAATAATGACCGAGTCTAACTGTGCAACTCCGAGGGCACAACACGCTGAGGGGAAAAAAAGAACAGAGACTGGAAAATCTTTTGTGCAGTATGAATATAAGCAGCATGACTTTCCAAATTCAACAAAAAACACACCTCCTGCTTCACTCCGCTAGCTTCCCATTCGCTATTTGTAACTGAGTGATCAGCAGTCAAGGATAGCAACACTATGTTTTTAGCAAAGAATCAAGCATACAGCTGAAGGCCAAGCTTCAACTGCAGGTACTGGGGAAAACAACACAACAAAAAACCCACCACCAAAGTAAGTGTGAATTTTTTTTCTCCTTTTCAATATTAAAATTGTATTTTTCCTGTAGACAATGGTGACACAATTCTTGATTCCTTCACTCTCAGTTTCTTCCGAAATTCATAACTTTCACTCCAAACTATAACCCAAATACAGGGTGTGGACTAAGAGAACTACGTGATATGTGATTTAGATGAAAAGCACATCAAATACGAAGATTTAAATTGCCAGAGAGAAGTGCCAAGTCTTGGAGTACCACTGAGCTTTAGGAAAGATGCAAGTCATGAGGCCTCTTCTGCACAGCAAAAAGAATAAAACTAGGTCACTAAATAAATTATTCTCTTCTGGAAAAGAATTCTATGAATGTATTTTTAACGAATGGGACTACAACTTGTAATGAGGAGGCTATTAACTGGGATATCAATAGAAAAGAATGCTATCTGCCCTTTGTTCTTTGGTAATCTCTTATGCCCAACTGTTCTTCCAAAGTGATGAAGTGCAGTGCTGCTCACAATTACTGCTGTATTAGGCTAACAAAACTTTACGTGTCAGTATAGCCATCGTATTCTATTTTCAATAAACATTAACTATTTCATCAGCTGCTTGCAATATTGTTTGAGTTCCTAAATAATCTCTGAAATATTGCACAGTTAGTGTTGAAGTTCATGCTAAAAAACAACTGGCATCTAACAACCACTTGTAAGAACTATTGTATCGCTGTCACTAAACCACCACGTGCTATTCACTGTTTAACAAGTCTCGTGTGAAAGAATAAAACTTGCTCCTGCTTGAAGTAAGGGGTCAGATCTGAGTTTGTGGTCCCAGGGTTGCAGGGATCCCTCTTTAGTAAGTTTACCGACTGAACTAACGTGTAAATAGACTTGATTAACCAAGTCGCTCTTCAGGGAAAAACAGGATATACTTCTGACAGTCACTAAATACACCTCAGAGATGGAGAAGGTTATACATGTATTTCTAAACACTAAAGTAAAAAAGAAACCCTACCAGAAGTTTGAGTTTCACACTTACCCATGTCAACTGCATCTCTGATCGACGAAGAGTTTGATCCAACGATGAAAAGTTTTGCTATTTTCAAAGAAACTGGAATCAGTAACTAAACAAGCCAGCTGTTATTAAATGTAGAACTGTTTATTTGTGCTGTATACACTACCGATGAGCTCTTGGGTAAAGGGCTGTTAGAATATATATCAATACTTCAAGAACTGGAAAGAAAATGTTCTGGAAAGTGATAGCTCAATGAAAACAAATTTGAGAGTTGTACAGTCTCAGAACACAAAGTCATCCAGTGAGATGATCTACTGAACTGCAAAGCTAGCATTTAAACATCAAGACTAAGCAATAACCATAACAACCTGTGTAAAATCCCTCAACATAACAGTGCAGACAGATTTCTTTGGAACTTACTGAGACTCAAGACGTACTACTGCTAGTTTGGTCTGCCTCCTTCAAGTTCATCATACTCAACCTGGAAAAACTGTGCAAATCAATGTGCTTCCAATGCTGTTTCTTAACTGCAGTATTAGTTGTAATATTTTGCTTCAGAGAAGTCAAAGATTCAGAAAAAAACATGCAAAAGGTCTTCAGGGGATGAAAGGTAAAACTAGCACAATATTGAGATGCTTTAAAACTTGAAATCTGAAATCCAGTCTCTCTTAGCCAACTTCTAGATTACCCAAAGCTGAATATCATTTGACCTTGAAATTACAAAACAGGGTGGAAAAAACAGACCACTATGAACATCCTATTAATAACTGCACAAGAAACCTATTAATGCCACTGCATCTTTGACTGTGTCCTTACCTGATACTTTCAATTCATCCCTTTCTTCAAGATTTATTTTTTCTATTGCTTGAGCTACAGTACATTCCAGAACGTCCACTATTTCCTGTAATAAGTACATAAGACTTAGGAACAACTCGTGAAGAAGAGACACTAGGTTTCTGAATAATGTTTTTAAGTAATTAAAAACCCTTCAGTTAGGAACAGGAATAGTGTAAGAGTTCAGTGACAGAAAGCGAGCTTCTTGATCTCCGAGGGGAAGACAGGAAATCGTAGCCATATGAAAGGCCCTATATGCCCCTAACATAAAAAATATAAATTACTAGTAAGAATTATTGTAATTTAGTAGTGTTCTGATTTTCTGCCATGAACAAATTGCTGGGCCAATCCAAACTGCCTTGCTTTAAAACAAATCATTAATAGAATTAAGGGAACATCTCTGTATAGAAGTATTTTGTAATTTCAGTGAAGCCTAACATGAAAATACCAGGAAATACAGATTTAGAACAATAATTTTGAAACTAAAAATTAGGAACATTTCAGATCTTTCACCCTCTGTCCTCATCTGAGACAAAGCCGATACAAGATGACTTTCTAAGGCTTTACTTACATTAGATTTTGTATTATACACACATATATACCACCCCACACCCAACCAAAAGCTCGTTGGTAATTATTGCTGCCCTTCCAAAAAATCCTCAATCAAGGCTTCAAGTTATTCCATGCAGTCAACACCTTAAACAGAAGTTTGCTTTTTAATTACTCCAAACCAGTGTAATTCATTAAAGAATTTGGTATTATACAGTTGAAGTGTTTTGACTGTAAAGCCTGATTTACACTAAATCATTAACTTTAAATGGATCGCTACATCTTATAAATGTCTATTTATGTTCTCTTCTTGAGCAATCATTGGATCCCCCAAAAATCATTCAGCAATAACTGCAGGACCATGCTCCAGTGCGGAAAGCAGCGTGTGAGGTTGACATGACCACTGCACAGGAACTGGGAACAAAACCCAAAGAAACCACCAGGAAAGTTTTTGGGTTGTTCTGGTCTTACTGGGGTGGGGTTTTCTGTTTTGTTTTGGTGTGGTGTTTGTGTTTTTTTTTTTAAAAATGCATGCTAATGTTTCACAGAGCAAAGAACGCATTTAGTGGGAACCTCTTACTGCTTTGCTAAATTTCAGAAGCAATAATGAGAGATAAGCACGCAAATACACAACAATATCAATGTCAGATGCCCATGGCTGTGGTTTTAAGAATTATGTGGAAGTCTTTAGCATTTAAAGGAAAAATTGCCACTTCTACATCTTCAGAAATATTGCTGAGACAACCAAGGCTGTTTCAGAAGTCCCCACCAAACAGTACTGATCTTCAGTCATCTGGTTTATGTCCACCAATTTTTTACAAGCATGCTAGCAACCTTCTAAGGTACACAGCTGGGGTTTGTTTTCTTTTGTGACTGCCCCAACAAGTAACTTGAAATCTTACAGACTAGGACTTATTTTGCTAAGAATTGTCATCCACAGGATTCTTTACTTTGATATTTCTTAACCTCTCCGAATTAACTCTTCTTAACTGATTTATTAAATATATATAAAAAAGGAGTTGAGAAATCTTTCCC